TCATTTCTGTCTCTCTTGAAGACCTGCCTACCTGAAATCTCAGACTCATCCTTATCTGAGTCTCGGATAAGCTACTAGCCATATTGGTCATGAGATAATACTTACCACATGCCCAGACTGTAGTGCTTGGCCAGTGGAAAAAATAACTATAATCTAAGGTTGCAAAATAAAGTTGCATATGTGTTGCTAGAACCCTAACTGATGTCAAGGACTTTGGAGAGTTAGAATGTCACAGGTTCAAGCCTTTTTAGTGGACAGTCTTCTACTACACCCTGCACATGACTTAACACTGTTGTGATGGGAACTCTAAACTGCTCTATGGGACACTCATAGCAGCTTGGCTAAAACTCACCTTTACTCTCTGACATCTTTTCCACTGTCTCTCCTAACTTACTTTAAATATCAAAACTATAGCCTTTAGGGGCCCTGTTTTGTTTTTAACTTTTCTATTTACCTCATCCCTTCTTAATAAATTTAATTCAAAATTAACTCTAAAACTCTTGTTGGGCCTCCCGACTCATACCTATAAATTCTTCTTAAACAGCGGTTTTGATTCTAGTATCAGCAGGCCCCTCTGTAGTCGCTTGAAAACTCAATTTACTCAGACTGTTATTCGGCATACTACATGGACTTACGTGAACAATGTCTTCTTGATGTGGAATCTGATTATCAGCCGCTGTTGCAGGGACCTACACCTGACAACACCCAAGGAGACAAGCAGTCCTCACCCCATCCTACTGTGCCCCAGCTCAGCTCGAAAGCCAGTGACTCAGTCTTGACACCCGTCATCGCCTACGTCTCCTCCTTCACTTGGGCTTTCCTTAAAATCATGCCTGTATCCTATCCTCTGAATGAATGTGTGGGGGGGGGGGGGGTGCATGCGTGCTTGCACATGCGCACACGCACATACACCCCCCCAGGTACTCTGGTTGACCTTTGAGTCCAGTCCTTCCTTGCAACCTTGGGTCTTCTACCCCTTTTACCCATCAATTTCTGTAACATGCTTGTCAACATGAAGAAGTGACCACTCCCCTACAACATGAGGACCCCTGAGTCAGGAGTCGGTACTCCCCAGAAAGTGTGTTTCATTTTCCCCAATGGTTTTTGTAGAGTAAATGATGAATAAAGGCTGTATTATTTCACTGAATTAAAAAGTGTATAGTTAGCTAGTATCAAAAGAAAGTGTGTCAGCCTTTGTGGGATACAGGTTAACTTTGACCTCACTCAAATTACTCTGTACACTGAACTATATGTCCAGTTAAGTCTCTGTTGTAGCTAGAACTGCAACAGTGTCAAAAGCTGCTTATCCTTTCACAGACCGTATAATTACATCTGCACTTTATTAATGACTCATTTGAATACCTCATTTAATTGGTGATAGTGAAGAGACCATAAGAGTTTTAAGTAATAAGTAAATTTATCAACAAGTGCTGGGGTGGGGGTGTTGCTGTAGAGCATCTGTACCCCTGCTGGTACAGCAGAGATAGGCCTACAGGAAAGATGGAGCTTCATGGAAGGGAGATAGAAAGTGTCTGAAGCAGTGAAGGTGTATATCTGTCTGTTGAAATAGCAAAACATTAAAAGGATTGCCACTCTGGATGACCAGGGGGCTGTGAGTTGCCGATGAGAGCACAGCTTTGTTAGACAACAAACATCCAAGTTTGTCGTCTCATGTGGACAACCATCCACACACGTGTGCAAGAATCTATTAGAGCGCAATGGTAAATAGCCCAGGCTGCTTGGATAAATCACTTGGTTGTGTCATCAAGAAAGGGAACTAGTATTTTTAACGCAGTATTACATACCATTGCTCAAGCTGAGACTTTGTTACCAATATATGAACGCCCCAGGTAGACTCAGTTCCTTTGTTTTTCCAGAATGCCTGGCAGAGGACATTTCCCGGACCTTTTATCGAGCTGTGTTTTGGGAACTTCGTTAGATTAATGCACTGAGATGATGTGTGTTTTGGGATGCACATCATAAGATTTAGAAGCTTTCAGTCATATCCAGCTTGTGCTCCGTCAGCCGTTCTCTGGACCTACAGGCGGTTGCAAGGTAGACCCAGGCAAAAGAGCAAGGGCCAGTAAGTACTTAACCTCAAAAGCTGAGCTTCCCTGTGCGTCCACAGCTTATACGCATCACCACCATGTATTAAAAATAGACTGACTGACTTAGCAACTTTTACTTCCAATTGCTTTTAAAAAAAAGAAAAACCTCAGATCTTTACTGTAATTCTTTTATGTTCCCCTTTAACAGTTTATTCATTCTCCTGGCTTCCAAAGATTCTGCTGAATTTATCTGCCCTATGCTTGTGCCAAGTTACTGTTCCCAAATTAAAAAGTTTGCTTGGATGGTAGTTTTATCATTTAAGATAGGATGAATCAAGAAAGCACTTGCCAGGAAATGTCATCTTTCTGGAAAAATTCAAATCACAGTTACCTTCAGCAACAATGGAGAGATAGCAGCACAGAGAAATTAAAAGAGATAAAGAAGAGCCTCAAAACTACTGTCAGCCAAAACTTCAAATGTATCCTAGTTCCAGTTAAGTTCTCCAGAGTGAACGGTGAGCTGTAAACACTGAGCTGCGTTATCCTTTATTGTTTTTAGTAACTGGAAGCTATAGGAACACTGCTCTGAAGCTACTCAGCTTCAGAAAGTCAATTCCGTTCAGCTGTAGCTATAGCTCATCAGACATGTGCATGTTCATCTGTCAGTGGGATACATTGAATTTTCTACTAATATGTCACTTAGATCCTCATAGAAAACATAATTCAAAATGGATTTGTAACAAAAAAGAAATGTGGAAATTCAGAGAATTACTTCTGTCCTTTGGTTCACACTTTCCTGCCAAAGAAAAAGAGAGTGAGGGACAAAGCGGGAAGCTGAAAAGAAACTAAAGGTGCTGATGTCTGTGGAAGAGGATGCTGGCTGAAGCAGTCAGCAGATGAGAGAAGTGAGAAAGTAGAAACCCCACAGAACTTACCAGAGGGCCCAGTGAACAACCTGCCGAAGAAAGGACCCTTGCTCACTGCCATCTGTAGATCTCAGGACCCCCGAGCCCAACTGAAAGATGCTCCTTGGGTGCAGGATTTTAATTTGATGAAGTTCGTGCCAGCTCAGTGACAAAGAAAGCAGAATTTGGGAGTCACCCTCCCAGGAATGCTTTGTTGCCCTCCCTCCCCAACACCGTTTCCCCCATTTTAAACTAGTGGACTCTTTAATAATTCCAGTCAGGTCCACAGCAGGTCAATTAATACCGGGCTTGCCGAAGCTTTGGTTCTATTAAGTCCCTTCTTTCCAGTGATACTCATGTCTGTTTTCTTGAGTCTTCCTTACTCCATTTTATCGCATCTAACCATTGGTGCTCATAAGAGGGAACCCAGAACAGTAACATTTGCAGCACCCATGAGAGCAATTTCCTATTATCTGTTTCACCCAAAAAGTCTACATCAACCATGGTGAAGAAACTGATCTAAAAGAGTGATCAAAAAAAAAAAAAAAAAAAAAAAAGAGTGATCGGAATATAAGCAAGGTCCAGTAAGAACTGTTTGGCGGCATAAATTAACAATTAGCTGTGTATTCAAGGATATACAATGAAGATAAACACTGAGAGGTAATTCAGAGGTTGACTCTAATCACAACTTCAGAAATATTCCTCCCTTATAATATAATCAATGAATCAACCTATCGTCTCGGCATTCCAGGATCATGGTCCTAAGTGTGAGGTCCTACAGGACCTATGGGAGCTGAAGGGACTGGTACACCTTCTCAGATATCTCTGCTAATGATCCAGAGCATGCCAACAGCATTTAATAAGGCAAGCTTAAAGAGGAGATTGGTGGTCATTCAAAAATTTCTGCGTATTTCTATGTCAACCATCTATGTTTGTCATTTTAAATAAAGCTGAGACTAGAGTGGTGCCTAAATCATGAGCACACATGTCAGAATGTATAGCTGCATTGCTTTCCTTCACTGTTCCCATTTTCTTTCTTTTTTCTGTATGAATAATAAATCAAATAAATCTTTTTAAATTTTTTTTTAGAATTCATTCATTATATATCCCAATTGAAGGCCTCTCCCTCAACCCTTCCCAGTCCTACCCTCCCTCTCCTTTCTTCTTCCCCCCATCTCCTTCCCCTAGTCCACTGAAAGGGGGAATTCTCCCCCTCTGTCATCTGTCCACAGATTATCAAGTCTCATCAGGACTGCCTGGATCCTCTTCCTCTGTGGCCTGGCAAGGCAACATCACCAGGGGCAAGTGAGCAGGCAATTGAGTTCATGACAGAGGCAGCCCCCGCTCCCCTTACTCAGAAACCCATATGGAGACTGAGCTGCCAATTGGCTACAACTGAGCAGGGGGTCTAGGTCCTCTCCATGAAATTTGCAGGCAAAAAGATGGAACTAAAAAAGATCATTTTGAGTAATGCAGAAACAGAAAGACACACATGATAAACACTCACTTATAAGCAGATAATAGCCATATAATTTAGGATAGCCATACTAAAAGTTATAGACCTAAAGAAGCTAAACAACAAGGAGAACCCTAGGGAGGATGCTTAAATCTCATTCAGAATGGCAAACAGGATAGACACCAGAAGCGGTGGAAGAGAGGGAGCAGGATGGGAGCCTACTATAGATGTCCTCTGAAAGGCTCCACCAGACAGGGGATTGAAGCAGATGCAGAGACTCACAGCCAAATTTTGGGCAGAGAGCAGGGAGTCTTATGGAAGAAGGGGGTGGGAATAAAAGGACACGGAGGGGACAGGAGCCCCATAAAGAGGCCAACAAAGCTTAAAAAACCTGAGCCCAGAAGGTCCTGCAGAGACTGATGTTCCCATTATCTTTGGGCCGTATATCATCACCAAGAGCTCCCATATTACTTGCACTTCTCCATTCCATTCCTCACTAACAGGGGCACTAATGAATCTGCCCCTCAAAAACCCAGGAAGAATTGAAACCAAAGAGACTCAGCCCATGACCCTCAGGCACTGGTAACTTACAAGCTTCCCGGAGTTTCTCTTTGTCATAGTGGAGTCCTTCATAGTCTTGTAAACTGATTTTGTTTACGCGGATCCTCAGGCGATCAGGGACAGACTGGGGACTGAAAGACAAGAACCAAGTGGTCAGATATAGTGAGAGAACAGAACTGGGAGTCTGTGTTCTGGAGAGCTTAGGGGCAATAGGATCTCCTGTGGGTTAAAAGAAAAGGTTTACAAACCAGAACTACTTCCTGTTTACTGGGACAAAAATTATCCGAAAAGTCCTCTTCTAGAAACCTAGTGTAACTGAAATTTAGGTCAGAACATAGGAACAGGAAAAAGGCTCTGGGTAACATCCACATATAATGTTTGCTGTTAATTTGTCAAAACTCAAATAAGACCATATGTTTTGTTGTGTAAAAATTAGACACAAGTAATGGAGAATATCGAGAAACATGTTGGAGCTATAAAATACTACTAACCATTTCTATAATAGTCAAAGCTAGTTAATGATGGCTTTGCCTCAAAAGAAACATATTTTAAAAATGGATTTAAAAGTACAAACTAGGCACCTAGAGTACATACAACTAAGGTTAAGATTTCCCATCCTATTGAGGAGTCTTTGAAAACACCAATCACTTAAGGCATGTTATAATTGAAGCTGCCTGCAAGGTGCTTTGAAATGAAGCAAATAACTCATGCTGAAAGAACTCATTCAAGCTGACCAGGATGTACATTAATTAAACAGAAAGCACCAAAGTCTCTGAAACATCTTGTTCACCTGCTTAATTCTGTAAATTTCTCTTAAGTCACATCTTTCAAGTGGTTGATCCTAGACCTGAATTTAATGACAAACAAACAAACTTAATTTTTATCATCTCCACTGTGGATCAATGTATTTCTTTTGGTCCGTGAGCATTCTTTAGTTTCATTGGTTGAAAGAACTTTCTCAAACACAGAACTACTGCTTTTTTAAATAGTAAATAGTAATAAACATAGACAATAAAAGAAAGGGAGAGAGAGATTTAAAGTATTTAAAAGTCTGTAAGTATTCAAATTCTAACGAGGGCAGTACGTTAACATATATGGCTACTCCTGAGCAACCTGGAGACAGATGTGATGCTGGCTGGTCCATCACTCAAAGCAGGACTGTTGAGTGCCTAATCTGCTGGTGTGATGCTGGTCATGGTAGAAGCACAGGGAATAAATCTGGTATGAGTATGTTAGTGAAGATAAGAAGATAGATATCTAGTTTGATGAAATAGCTACAAGCCAGTAGACCAGACATTAGTATCATATGCCTGCAAGCATCACTTCACCAACAGATAAAATGATTTCAAAATATAAAGCTATTTTAAGGTCACATAGCTCTATAGGGCAGAGGTAGAGGCAGAGATATGTTCTCCATATTCATCATTCTGATCTTAATATGGAGCCAAGACCATGAGACTTCAGATAAATACCAAGAGTCCATGTAGAAGATAGCAAAACCATAATACAATTTATCCAGGTCAGGTGATCTCTACGAGGTGCCAAGACTGTTTTATTTATCAGTACACAATTTACAGGGGGTTAAGTAAACTGTGACACAAGCTAGAAAATATGGGGCAGATATTATGAATGGGTGCATAGATCTATATTGATTCAAAGGGAAGTCTGGCTACCACATACTTTAAGTACAATTGTAAAAATCACAGAAACTATAAATGATCTAAGTTTCTGCATGTAAATTGTGGTACTTAGAAGTCTATGTTTGTAAAAGAAATGCCTGCCCATTCTGTGATGACAGGCAGGAGTATGAGGTTGAGTGACTTCTGTGTAAACATTCTTTGGATAATGGTAGACCAAATGCCACTGAGCTCTAGAGTCAAAAGACTAGAGACCTCATTAGGGGAGCAGTTGCCAAATGTAGACATACTTCAGAGAACTGTTGGCCAGTCCTTTCTTCTACTTCAACATGTAACATCCATCTCAGCCCCTCAGAGTCTATTCCCTATCTGGCAAGTTTTAACTCTCAACTTCACATTTTTTGCCCTCTGATTCCACCCAACGTAATACTGCCTCTGAGAAAACTAAGCTCCAAATTTCCATGATTCCACTATGATCATATAATAGTACCTAGTATTTGAAGAGTTTTCTAGATCCCAAGTGAACTGACATCTTATCTCATTTCTTCTCCAGGACAATAAGATTGTCACTAACCAGCATTGAATTCTCTTACCCATCCACCCTCCTTTTGCTTTTAGCCCCCACCTTTTTACGACTACTTACAACACACACCAATAGGAGCTTTCTGAAACCAAGCCTTCTAGCTAAGGTATCCTGTGTTTTGCTTCATATTAAATGCTCATTTAAAACCTTAAATAAAAACGTTGACTTAACTGAAGCCCATTAATAAATTTCAAGGCATCAGACCATGAACTAAATAATGTAAATTCTCTTTCACTCATTCTTGACCCTCATACACGCAGTAGGTGTGGGACAGGGGTCAACACAGCCAATTGTTGAAAGAAGCTAGGCTCTGAGGCAGACCGACTGGATCTGAAGCAAAGTTCTTCCACTTCCTAGTTCACCTGTGATTTAGTTTCTTCATCAGTAAAATGGTGACAATAGGATCAATCTCATGGGAAAAATATGAGAAAAATAATCAGTGCACATGCTGCACCTTGGGAAAGTGACTGGCACATTCTAAGTGTCAAATAGGTATTAGCTAACATCATTATCATAATTGCCCTGATCGTTCCTCTCCTAAACAAGATTCTGCCCAACAATAGCATCTGCTACTGCCAGACACTCAGAGAAATTTAGAACTGATATTGGAACCTCCCTAGACATTTCTAATGACGGTCCTAAGGGTGCTGTCTCTCTTGGATGGTGTCATAACATTCCACACTCATGAATCTTTCCCAACTTGGTATTTCAAAAAGCCAGCTAATGGCAAGGAACTGGACAGATAAAACATAGGGAACAAAATGTGCATTGAAGTAAAGTGAAAGCTAAGCAATTCAATTTTATCCCCATGTCACATTATATTAGTGTTCCAATACTGGTGGCTGGAGGTGGAGGACAACAGAGCTATTCCCTGGAGGCTGGGGAATAGCTCTGTCATTAGTTTTCTAAAATTGTACTTTGCCAAAGAAGTTAGTAGAGCATAGAAGAGATTCCTAACTTGAGAATAAAGAAATATGCCTCCATGCCAACAACTATAGGCAACATATACTTACTTAGGCATCGTATCAAGAGTTCTAAACCTGACTTCCAGAGGACACTCAAGTCTCCTAGAAGAGAGCCAGAAATCTGTGAACCGCCCTTCCTATTGAAGTGGGGATTGCAACCTACTCCATTCTTATTAATGCTTCTGCGATCGTACACAGACTCAAGAGTCACAGTATAAATTACCTCTTAGCCACACAGCACACAGCTGTTGCTTTCTAAGGTTGGAGGGGGAAAGACCATCATCCATTACAATAACCCCCTGAGTATTCAGTGTCATTCAACTTGTACCTGGGTCTTACTGCTTCCTGTTTATTCATAGATGCTGCTGGCACCCCCCCCCCATGTGTCTGTCTGTCTGTCTGTGTTGCTATGGATTGAACTCAGGGTTTCATGCATGCTAGGCGAGTGTTCCACTGCTGAGCTACCTCCCCAGTCCTTTTGTATTTATATGACATGAAATCTGAAGCCACTCTGAAGCTCTGATTATCAGACTGCAAACCTTAGCATGATCAAAATCTGTTGACATGGAGAGGGAGAGAAAATTCAGGGATATGAATCTATGAAGTCTGTTGACTAAGAATACAACTAAAGGCAGTGGATGCTTGTAAAAATTTACTCAAAGGTGCTAAATAGGCAAATATTAATTCATGTTGCAGACAGGACCCTTGAGGTTATATAATATTCTATATGTTACACCTTGTGAATATCCTGTTTTACTTTAACATTTCTCAGATGGCTTATTGCAAGGTTCATCCCTTTGAAAACCTCATTATACAGGTGCATTGATTTTTATGCAGAACCAGAGAAGATTGGATTTCTTTACTAACACAGAAAACCATCACAACCCTGTCTCTTTCCACCTTCAGGCTAGATTTAATTAAAAAACATCCCGTAAATTATTTCAAGTCATGCAAGTTCGAGGTTCTGCTTACACATAGTCTAGGTACAATACAGTGTGTTTCTAACTAATCTTTGTTTGTTTGTATGTTTTTGAGACAGGCTTTTTCTGCATAGCTTTTGCTGTCCTGGAGCTCATTCTGTCAACCAGGCTAGCCTTGAACCCAGAAATTTGCCTGCCTCTGATTCCAAGTGCTGGGATTAAAGGTGTGCGCTACCATGCCTGGTTCTCTAAACTTTAATAGAAGTCATTCAACTAGTCTTTATGTTATGATGGATCTGTAATTAAAAATATTAATTATTAGTGTGAATAGCAGGAACGAGTCACTTCCTCCTTGCAATTCCATCACCCAGAGTGCCACCTCGCCCATGTTCCAGTTTTGAGTCCTGCTGGAGCACCCATGGCCATAAGATTTCCACACAGGTTGGCACTGGAGTTTCCAATTGCTGCCTTCCAGTGGGCTTTTCTTTGCAAACCAAGAAAGAAGTGTGACATGGCTGTGCATGTCTGTGTTCTGTCTGAGCTCTAGATGAGGAGGTGAGCCCATGCAGGGTTATACTCTCCTCACCTTTCCCTGCATCTCTAGTGGGATCCACATAGATGACAGAGAATTGAGAGCTAGAACTCCTTACCAAAAAAGGCAAACAATCCATATCAGGACACATGATATCCAGTTAAACTGTAGTAACCCAGCCATATCATCGACCACCAATCTTCAGTTAGCTTCTGCCCAGAGAAGTGCACACTGCCTCAGGACTGTAAAATTGTGCAGAAGCTTTTGAATCTCATTAATAATAATGAGATTACACTAATGGTGAGTTGTCACATGATCCTGCTACCAGACACACCTTACTGCAGAATCCTTCCCAGATTGTCCGTCCTTTTGTATGGGGGTGTGCTACACAGTGGGATGCCAACCTCGCACAAGCTAACCTCATCTAAGAGGAGAGGATCTCAATTAAGAAAATGCCTCCGTCAGATTGGGCTGCAAGCAAGCCTGTGGAGCAT